ATAATAATATATATATATATATATATATATATATACATGTATAGTTCTCTTCTTATTGTCAAAGTGTGTTCAGGCTGATTCAATTACTTTTGAAACACGCTTTGACGGAATAAATTCTTCTTCTTATCTCCTTTTCTACTGTTAGTCTTACTCTAACATATTAAACATTAGGCCTATGTCAATCGTTAGGCCTATCACTTCTACGATGGTGAACTTCACTTACTCTCAAATTCAGCACCGTTTATGGAGTTCATGTTGAAATTGCCGTCGTTGTATGTTAGACAATGACATATATGTTAATCTTTCAAATACAAAATTAACTTAACGCTACATTGGAAATGAGAAGTTCTCTATTTCTGTCACCATAAACATTTATTAACGGGCACAGACTTGCTGCTAATGGTACCTAACCCTGAAGTAATTCAATCACTTAACATTTAGCCTGGGTCGGGGGAGCTGATATCCCATGAGTATTGTACAGACGTAGGTGTGTAGTGCTGTTGGAGTTGCGCTCCGGCTGCTGAAATTGGAGCTCAGTCCTAACACTTCAAAACCTAAAGACGTGTATAAAAAATATGTTATAAGTTATAAAAATAAATAAACTGTCACCTGTTTTTATAGATAAATGCACTGAGCGAGGTAATTTACATGTGTTCTTTTGGATTGGTTTTCAGCTTTCTTATGGTGAGTGATACCTATTCAGACTTAAGAATGCTCTCCGTGTGAACTTTTAAAAGCAGAGTTTCTAATATTTCATTAACATTATTGTTTGTTTGTTTGTTGAATTTCACGCAAAGCTACCCAAGGGCTGTCTTCGCTAGCCGTCCCTAATTTAGCAGTAATAGACTAGAGGGAAAGCAGCTACTCATCACCACCCACGGTCAATTCTTGGACTAACCTTTCCCAACGAATAGTGGGATTGACTGACACAGTATAATGCCTTCACAGTTGATAGGGCCAACATATTCGGTAACGGGATTCGAATCTATGATTCGCATATTGCGAGTCGAGCGCCCTAACCACGAGGCTATGCCAGACTTCATTAAGATCAGACCATCCAAAGCAGGAAAGTTTGTAAAATATCTTTACGTTTATATTCATAAACATATGTACACACTGGCTTGTTTAGTGATCAAACATAATCACAACATAATCAAAAATTGTTAATTTAAAAGGAGGAATAGGAATCATCAAAAAGTACAAAAACAAACTGAAACAAAATGGAAAGATTATATTTTCAAGTCTACAATTATGTACTCTAAAAAAGTAAACAAACTAGGTTGGAAATAGTGTCTACATTATTTTCTCAAGCCGCAAATCCCTATTTTGACTCCACTAAAATTGATAAGTACTGTAGACATGCTGTAGGTTTGTGAAACAATAATATGAATAATAATAATAATAAAATACGCACTCACAATTTCAGTGAAGTATAAAAATTAATAGAATAAATCACTACTTTGGTAATCACCTACTTTTAGAAAACTCGTTGAAAACATCACAGAAAACCACGCAGAGACAAAAGTACAACAGCGAACTCGAGAAATGGTGAATCCTCAAGATGGAAGTAATTAAAGCTCTATAAGTTGCACAAATTATTTTCCATCTAGTTGGAATACTTGTCCCCTAGTAGAAGTTAGGTAAATTCATGATTAATGAAAGGTTATCTTAGGACATGAAAAGTTTCTTCTCGTATATGCAATTGTAAAATACGCAAAAACTGCAAATCACAAAATGTAAAACCGCAAATATGTGTGTATCTCCCCGTGGACTCAATGAATCTCCATCCCACTTTTGGTGAAGATCCACCCACAGCCTGTCAAGTAGTTACATGAACATGCAACAGACAGTACTACTATATTTTTTATAGATTAATGCGCATTAGTAAAACACAGGATGTTTTCAATGGCGAAAAGTGAAGGATTTAGATAAATTCTTCAAGGCGAAAAACGAAAGCGCTTGAAATAATTTTAAAACTATCCTATAACATACTCAGTATTGCAGTCATTACTATTGTTCAGGTTTCAGTAAAATATTCGTAGCCGTTCTTTTTGTAGCGGTTTGTAAAACTATAAGCAATAATAATAAGGCTGGAGACACTATTATAAATATACATATTGTTTATTCTAATAAAACGAAGCGTTTCCGACTAGTATAACAGGTGCTGATTGGCTTCGAAGAGCTTATGTTGGTAGCGAATAAATTAAAATTTTAGAGGGTGGAAATATAGACTTTCAAGAATCAACTTAAAAAATAGCCCTACAATCTTCGCAGGAGTTTGTTTAGTAGCTGTGCATAGATG